AAAAGCAATTATTTTTGGTGTAAAGGTCTACCAGTCTGGGCGCGGTGACTGACGCCTATAATCCCAGCACTTTGGGAGGCTGATATGAGAGGATTGCCTAAGCCCATGGGTTTGAGACCAGCCTGAGCAACTTGGCGAGACCTCATCTGTACAATAAATCAAAAAATTAGATGGGCATTGTGGCACGTGCCTGTAGTTCCAGCTACCTGGAAGGCTGAGGCGAAAGGATCACCTGAGCCCAACAGGTTGAGGCTGAGGTGGCCGTGAGCATGCCACTAAACTCCAGCCTGGGCAACAGAGTGAGACTGCAACTCAAAAAGAAAAAAAAAGATATTTTAAAGTAGAAAACGCCACGTAGAACAGGGACTGTGCATGCTTCTTGTTAGTGTTAGTTCCTAAGACCTGGTTTGGGATCTACTCGGAATGCAATCCCTAAACCATGTGCTACTGGTACCAATGTCAAGTAAGAACCATTTACTTGAGAATGTTCTCTTTTTTTTTGGTCAGAGTCATATTCTGTTGCCCAGGCTGGAGTACCATGGCACACTTACGGCCACCCCAGTGTCAACCTGCTGAGCTCAGGCGATCCTTCCACCTCAGCCTTCCAAGTAGCTAGAACTACAGGCATGTGCTACCACACCCGGCTAATTTTTTATCTGTTGTAGAGATGAGGTCTCGCCAGGTTGCCCGGGCTAGTCTCAAGCCCACAGACTCAGGCAATACACTCACCTCGGCCTCCCAAAGTGCTGGGATTACAGGCTGAGCTACCAGACCTTGCCAGAACTTCTTTTAGCACAAGAAAGTCTCAATCCAATATGAACAAATGTGCATAAAAGAATGCCAGACTTAGAGTAATAGGTCATCCCTGATTTAGAGAGAAAACTTTGTTGCTTCTCTAACATGTTTTTCTTCTTCCTAGTGTGCATCAATCTAGTGTTTGGTATTTCACATGATTTGTCTGGTAAGAGATTTTCTTGGCTTGATTACATTTTATGTAAGGGTCAAAGTGTTGGGGCAACCATTCAGAAGTATAAACTATGAACTCACACTTGCAGTCCCAGCTACTCAGGAGGCTGAGGCAGAAGGATCGCTTGAGCATAGGAGTTTACGGTTCCAGTGAGCTATGATCGCACCACTGTACATCAGCCTGAGCAACAGAGCAAGACCCTGTCTCTAAAAAAAAAAGTGTAAAATATTGGAAATTTGATTTCTGATCCCAGATATGTTGTCTATTTTATTGGAATCCTTTATCTGTCAAGGGAGCCAACCTGACTTTCACATTAGCTAACCCTGACTTTCACATTGGTCTCAGGTAACTACTACAAGAAATGAACACTGGAGATCATTTTAAAATCTCCTAGAAGAATATTCAAACTCTTAATGTTCTCCTACTAGAATGAGAGACACAGACTGCACCAAACAAAAAAATAATCCATAAACAATTTATCTCTAATTTACATTCTTCCACCTGTGGGTTCCAAATAAACTTTTTAAATGAAACTTCCTGCCTGCATATATAAATCTGTCCATAAAAACGTCATTAAGTATTAAATACGTGTTTGGCTTTGTGGTAAGCATCAGTAACTGAAGAGTTGGCAACCAAGAAGCCAAGGCCTGGGTCCTAACCACAAGAAACTTAGATGATCTTTAAAAATGTACCCATATAAGGAAGGATTTGACAAGTGTAGTGTTAGTATCTCCTTTGCTGTTACCACTTCCCAGCTGCATACATTGTATTACAACTCAATTTCACCGTCTGTAAAATGGGTCTATTCATAGTACCTACTTCGACATTCTTGTGAGACTTAAATGCCTAGAAAGGGCCGGTGTGGGCACACACACTGTACTTCCCTCCTCTGTGTGGTAGGGGAATAAATGAAGTGGAAGGACAGTTGCAATGGGCTGAGCTGCTTGGGGAGATGGGGGAGAAACTGGAGCTGAGTTGAGAGTGGGTGGGGAGGGGAAGGGGAAACACACCCTGTGGGCCAGGGTGGCCTACATTATTGTAATCAATGACAACTGGAGAGAGCCCTTCTGTCCAGATTCTGTTTACATCGAGTCAAGTGTCTGTTTCCTAAGCTGTCTGCCTTGACAATGTGTTGCTCTAATTAACTGTATTAGTTCATTTCCTGTGTCCAATAGATGTCCTATTTCCAAGAACCCAGGGCTCTGGAAGGGCTTCTCTGCTGGAAGTGTGAGCCCTAGATCTCAAGAGACGACTCAACAATAGCCAGAATACAGCCTCGGTTACCAAATGGCAATGTTTTTTTTTCTTTCTTTCTCCCATTCTCTTTAGATTCTTCAAAGGAACCTTGCATTTTAAAGATGACGTTACGAAATTTCAGGTCAATCTTATCATGGGAATTAAAAAACCATTCCATTAAACCAACTCACTATACATTATGGTACACAATCATGAGGTTAGTTTGGCATTTCTAGTTTTTCTTGCTAAACACATTATTGTTCTATTATGTTCTAAACATATTTTTATTCAGAGCCTTAAAAGGCCAAAGGCAAAGCACCTGTCACTCATCCATTTTTAACAAAATAAATACTTTCATAATCCAAAGCTATTTTGACAAAGCTCATATTTATAATGAAAGCCAACTTCTACAGGTCAAAACCTCACAAACAAAATAGTTGTGTGTGGTTTTTGCAACGATTTCTCTAAGTCAGTCGATCTGCTGAATGTTTTCAGAGGACAAGAGTCCAGAGGTCTGTTGACCATGTTGACGGTTTATGTTCACTTTTCTTTACTCTGGTGGGATACCAGAAAGCTGCCTGCCCAGTCTAAGACAGGCCTGGATCCAAAGTCTGGTTTGATCACTAATGAGCTTGACGCTTGGCACAGAGTTTAGCCCCCCTGACCTAATGCCTCTGCTGAGGGGTTGCTGTGAGGACTCATGGCGTGATGGATGGGGCCCTCTTTGGTGTTCTTCTCATGTCTGACTATCACTTAGACATCACTGTTTGCTTGAATACAGTAACACCTTGGAGCATCCCTTTATTGGTTATTTATTTGCCCTGTAGCTGTTGCTGCTGTTGCTGACTGGGCCAGGGAAAGGCCTCTTGAGAGTTGCTCTTTGATGCCTTTTAAAGTCTTAAAGTTTCTCTCAACATTGAGTGACCGCATGTATTATCTACCTACCTTTCTGAAACTCGGTAGATCAGATCTCTGTGTTGTCCCTAAAATAACCCGAGATTGACTTAGGGCTGGATCATGTAGTTCCAGCCAGAGAGGAAGGGGGTCTCAAGGGAAGGCATTCATGATTACCCTGTAGGGAGAGGGCTCTACCATGAGAATTCAAGTTTCACTCATTCATTCATCCAGCAAATATTTACTGTGCACCTACTACATACTAGGGGGTCCAACCATGAACCAAAGTCCCTGCCCTCCTAGAGCACACATTCTGAAAGGAAATAGAGGCTTCAATAAACAAGTAAAGGTATAATGTGGCAGGGCGCAATGGCTCATGTCTGTAATCCCATCACTTTGGGAGGTGGGAGAATCCCTTGAACCCAGGAGTTCAAGACCAACCTAGGCAACATAGTGAGACCTCGTCTCCATAAATAAGTTAATAAATAAATAAAATTATATTTGTTATTTTTAAAAAGGTATAATGTGACAGGTGCCAGTAAGCACTATGAAGAAAAATGAAGAAGACTAAGAGGGATTGAGAGTGCATAGGCGAGGAAAGTGGAGGGAGTTCCATTTTGAATAAGATGGTCTGGGAAGACAATTTAATAGCGTGATATTGAACAGAGCCCCAAAGAAAATGAGGAAGTGGCTGGGTGCAGTGGCTCAAGCCTGTAATCCCAGCACTTTGGGAGGCCAAGGCGAGAGGATTGCCAAGCTCAGGGGATCAAGACCAGCCTGGGCAACTTAGTGAGACCTCATTTCTTCAATAAATCAAAAAATTAGCCAGGCATGGTGGCGTGCATGTGTAGTTCCAGCTACTTGGAAAGTTGAGGCAGAAGGATCGCCTGAGTCCAGCAGGTTGAGGCTGCAGTGGCCATGAGCAACCTGGGCGACAGAGTGAAACTCTGGCTCCAAAAAAAGAAAAGAAGGAAGTAAGACACACAGAAAACAGATTCTCATTACCTACACGCTAACGTTTTGCTTTTTCCATTTCTTTCCTTTCCAAAGTGAACTAGACGATATGTATACTGTTGAGAACTGTACCAATACCACGAGATCATTTTGTGACCTAACAGGTATGTGGACACAGATGCATGAGACATACCTCGCCATGGTGGAAGGATTCAGAGGGAGCACATCCTTGGTCAGCTGCAAGCACGGTTTCCTGCTGGCCATGGACAGTGAGTTGATCTCTGTTTCTCAACTTCGTCCTCATCCTCAAGATCCTTATTATGTGCTCTTCCATGAGACAGGAAGGTCTTCAGAGAGTTTTTAGTGTTAGGGCTAGGCTCACTGCCTGGCCCTGCCACTTCTGGCTCTGTAATCGTGGACTGCTTTGCTTCTCTGAGCCTCAGTTTTTTGTTTTTTAATCTGAAAAGTGGAACAATAATCTATACTTCAAGATTTGCCCAGTGGCTGCAGTAGTAGTAGCTGTTTCATGACCTGACAGGAAGTATAAAGCCGGCTTCAGGTGACCTAATCTAAGCTGCCCCATCTCTTTGGGCCAGTGTTTTCCTTAATACAGGAACTCACCCCCAATTATAACCCAGTAAGTCCTGTATGTGTGGACACCAGGCGTGTATGCACTGAGGGCCCAAAGTTCAGAGGAGAAGATTGGAGTGCAAGAACAAATTCACTACTTTCTTCCTTCCTTCCTTCCCCTTATTTTCTTTCTTTTCTTTCCTTCCTTTTTTCTTTTCTTTCTTTCTTTTCTTTCCTTCATTCCTTCCTTTTTTCTTTTCTTTTTTCTTCCTTCCTTCCATTTCTCTTTTCTTTCCTTCCTTCTTTCTTTTCTTTCTTTTCTTTATTTCCTTTCTTCCTTCTTTCTTTTTCCTTCCTTCTTTCTTTTTCTTTTCTTTCCTTCCTCCTTTCTTTCCCCTTCCTTCCTTCCTTCCTTTCCTCTTTCTCTCTTCTGGAGTAAACTCCCTAAGGCACTTGTGTTCACAGGTCCAGCTCTGATACTTTTTACATTTCCCAGTTTCCAAGAGAAAGATTTGGTTTTAGCTCTCTGTCGTAGGTATGTGGGTGTGCACGCACATATATGCACACATATGTGCTTAGCAAAGTGGTCATGATGACTGAATCCCACTGTGTCAAACAGCTTAGATATGAGATTTACTGGAATTGTGTACAATGTTTGTGTGTGTGTGTGTATAAACAGACATATCTATGTGTACACATTGAAAAGTTTCTTCTCTGACCCTATATAGAAAGTCTGCCAACCTCTGATTTACATTATAATTTCTTATGGCTAATTCTGTTTTACTAAGTGGCTGTATCATGATTTAACTGATTCACTGTTTTGTACATTCCAATAGTTTCTTTTTCTGAAAAGACACAATGTGTCATTGAGTATTCTTGGTATTTAGGTTATTAAAGAATATGTATTAAAGTAACATTAAACCAGGCATGGTGGCTCATACCTATAATCCCAGTACTTTGGGAGGCTCAGCCGAGACGATTGTCTGAGCCCACGGGTTTGAGACCAGCCTGGGCAACTTGGTGAGACCTCGTCTCTACAATAAATCAAAAAATTAGCCAGGCATGATGCAAGTGGCTGTAGTTCCAACTACTTGGAAGACTGAGACAGAAGGATTGCCAGAGCCCAGCAGGTTGATGCTGGGGTAGTCGTGAGCATGCCACTGCACTTTAGCCTGGGAGACCGAGTGAGACTCTGGCTCAAAAAAAAAAAAAAAAAAGTAACAATAAGATATTTTTCATGATTCTAATGATAAATGTGAAAATACATAAATACCCAGGTTAAGAGGGAATACAAAGAATGTGCTTTTGGTGTAATCCTTCTGAACTTATTTGACAGTATTTCTTAAAAACCTTAACATGTGCCTGCTCTAATCCAAAATTCCTCCTTAATCATTTGTCCTAAAAATAATCTTAAGGATAGGTGAAAATATTTAGCTCCAAGAATACTCAATGACACATTGCTTCTTTTCAGAAAAAGAAACTATTGAACTGTGCAGAACAGTAAAACAGTGCAATCATGGTACAGCCATTTAAAAAATAGAATTAGCCATGAGAAATTACTATGCACATCAGGGGTTGGCAGAGTTTCTATGTTACAGGGTCAGAGAAGAAACACTTTAGACTTTGTGGGCCATGTATGATTTCTGCCACATATTCTTCTTTATTTTTATTTTTTTTACAATCCTTTAAAAATTAAAAACCATTCTGAACTTTCAGGCTGTGCAAAAGTTCATAACTCATGGGCCAAAGTTGCCAACCCTTGATTTAGATGGATATATATTGATATGTTTATGAAATATAGTTACACAAAAATGTATTCCATGCAAAACAATGTCAGCTAGACTGATTTAATTTTAGTTTATATATAGTATGTGTATATATACACACTAGTTTAATATATATACACACACATACATACCAGGGGTGCCAAAAAAAAGTATACAAATTTTAAGAAATGTTATATATGTATTACTTTTAGTTCACCTAAATCAGAAGTGTCCAGATGCTGATGGTAACCACTTTGAGCACCTCTTATAATTGCAGAAGTCAAACATGACTTATTATTGGTGTATACTGAGTATTACAATTTTTTTTTTTTTTGAGTGAAAGGAGGAGTTTATTAAGCCACAAAGCTCTCTGGAAACAGAAAGGAGCCCTGAAATGAGTTATCCTGAGTATTACCATTCAATAACATTTTTTCCTTCCTTAAAATGTGTATACATTTTAGCCTGGTGTGATGGCTCATGCCTGTAATCCCAGCACTTTGGGAGGCAGAGATGAGAGGATTGCCTGAGTCCAGGGGTTCAAGACCAGCCTGGGCAATTTAGTGAAACCTCCTCTCTAAAAAATTAGTTGGGCATGGTGGTGTGCGCCTGTGACTCCAGCTACTTGGAAGGCTGAGACAGAAGGATCACCTGAGCCCAGCAGGTCAAGGCTGCAGTGGCTGTGAGCATGCCAGGCACTCCAGTCTTGGCAACAGAGTGAGACTCCTATTTAAAAAAAAAAAATGAAAAAAATGTGTATATATATATATATATATATATATATTTTTTTTTTGGCACCCTCTGTATTTATACATACATAGCCTACACAGAAGATAATTAATGGCATTCAGAGAAAATTGCCTATCTATATTTTCTGATATGTCTATAATGATTATGTATTATTATTGTAATATGAAAAAAGTCATTTTTAATTTGGGATTTAGAATAGAGCTTGAACATTGGGAAAGTTCCTGGTTTCCAGCCCAGAACCCGTCCTTGATTTTCTATAGTAATATTAAACAAATCACTTCATTTGTCCTCAGTTTTTCACCAATACAATAAAAATAACATGTTACAATAAGGATCATAGGAAGATTAAAAAGAAAATAGCTTTTCTTTAGAAGAAGAAGGGGTGTCTTATGACAAGGGATGGCATTGTCAGGGTACAGTTATTGACTGACATTGGGGTTTGTTTCTGACTTTGTTTTCTAAACAGTGTCATTTGAACCACCAGAGTTTGAGATTGTTGGTTTTACAGACCACATTATTGTGACAGTGAAATTTCCATCTGTCTTTGAGAAAGAATTACAGTCTGCTATATCACTCATCATCGAAGAAGAGTCAGAGGGGATTGTTAAGAAGGTGAGTGGTGTCCAGTGTTGGGATCAAAACAGTTCTGAGTGGTCAATAAATGTCCTTGACTCTCTCTCTCTTTCAGAAAAAGAAATTTGTAGTCGGACAATTAAAACTAAAAGATCTGGCTTCAATGTGGTCTCACTTTGAGAAAGAAGTCTGTTGTTCATTCATTATGAAAATATGTTGATTGATTTAACCCTGCAGCATGGTCTTAAAAGAATAAGCCACACACACAACATCCAGGGACACACAGGAGAGAGAGGCGTGTGGTGTCGATTTCAAGAGAAACCAGGTTTCAGCAAGCCCGGGTGAGATTTTCTTGGAAAGAGTGATTTAGCTGAGCCACACGTGACATATCTCCAGCCTTCACACACAGGAAGGAAAGTGGCTCTTCCAGCAGTTCTGTCCCCTCCTGATTTCTCACAGACCCAACTGACAGTCAGTAACCTCAAGGTAATCCTGATATCTGGCAGAGCTAGATCTTCAATTTTCTTTTTTCTTTTTTTTTTTTTTTGCCAGAGTCTCACTCTGTCGCCCAGGCTGCAGTGCAGTGGCATACTCACGGCCACTGCAGCCTTGACCTGCTGAGCTGAGGCAATCCCTCTACCTCAGCCTTCCAAGTAGCTGGTACTCCAGGCATTCACCACCATGCCTGGCTACTTTTTCCGTTTATTGTAGAGACAAGGTCTCACCAAGTTGCCCAGGCTGGTCTCTAACAACTGGACTCAGGCAGTCCTCTCACCTTGGCCTCCCAAAATGCTGGGATTACAGGTGTGAGTCACCACACCCAGCCAGGTCTTCAATTTTCATTGCCATCATCCCTCAGATTATTGGAATAAGTGAAAATGGACAGATGGCACTCTCTGTTGGGCACTGCTGTAACAGCAGCTTACTTTTCTAGGGCCCTCTGCCAATTATAAAACCAACACCTCTAATCCCAGCACTTTGGGAGACCGAGGTGAGAGGACTGCCTGAGCCGATAGGTTTGAGACCAGTCTGGGCAACTTGGAGAGACCTCATCTCTAAAGGAAGACCAGGCTGCAAGGTATCAGGGCAGGCACATTTCAGGCAGAGGGCATAGGAAATTTAAAGACCCTGTGGCTGGAGTGGTCCGGTGGGTTTGAGAAACAGCAGGGAGAGGTTGCTGGAGGGGAGTGACCAAGGGGGTTGAATAGTAAGAAATGGGGTCCAAGAGGTAATGAGACTGGACCTGGTAGGACTTTGTGGCTCTGAGTCTCTGAGTGTGATGAAAACCCCTGGAGGCCCAAGGACCCAAAGCTTAACAGGGTATCCCAGCTGGTGAGTTAAGAATAGACCTCAGGACAAAGGCAAAACTTGGAAGACCAGTTAAGACACTGTTAGGGTGATAAGCACTTAATAGGCAGTTACAAATTACATGATTATTATAATTTTTCCTTTAATATCCACATGGATTATAATCAACACGCTAGAAAAAGGGAGCAAAAATATTAGGAAAAATAAATTGATGTGTGACTCAGGGACTGTATCAAGTGTCATTAAATATTCCATTTCAATCAAGTCTCATTTGTGTTCAATTCATAAGCCATTAACGCCATGTCTTAGATTATGATTTCTAAAATAAGAGACCTATGCTGGCCGGGTGCCATGGCTCAAGCCTGTAACCCCAGCACTTTAGGAGGCTGAGACGAGAGGATTGCCTGAGTTCAGGGGCTCGAGACCAGCCTAGGAAACTTGGTGAGACCTCGTCTCTACAATGAATAAAAAAATTAGCTAGGCATGGTGTCACATGCCTGTAGTTCCAGCTACTTGGAAGGTTGAGGCAGAAAGATCCCCTGAGCCCAGCAAGTCAAGGCTGCGGTGGCCGTGAGCGTGCCACTGCACTCCAGCCTGGGTGACTGAGTGAGACTCCAACTCAAAAAAAAGAGAGACCTATGCTTATTAGGGTAGTAATAATCCTGTACGAAGAAAACTATAGTGAATAAGCATCTTTTTCATTAAAGAAAACTAGTCTTTCAATTAAATCAAGGGGAAAAAATAGGTTATGAGTATGATCCAGGCAACAGATGGTGGTGGCTTGGACCACTTGATAGTAGAGGGGTATTTGCTCTTGCTTGAAATAGGAAAGCCTGAAAGATGTTTTAGTGTCAGGGCTAGGCTCACGTCCTGGCCCTGTAGTCAAATGAGAAACCATCAAGTTCTGCATATATTTTACAAGTGGAGCCAACAGTATTTCCAGGTAGGTTGGATGTACAGTAGTACAGTATGATAGAAAAAGAAGTTAGGACTCAAGCACTTTGGAGTTTTCAGTAACTACAATGAAGAAGATTCGTATGGTTTGAGCAGATGGGGGTTGGATAGCTCAATTTTGAGCATGTTAATTGCTTTTTTTTTTTTTTTTTTGAGCATGTTAATTTCAAGGTGCCCACATGGCATCTAGGAGGACCTTTTAGGCAGAAGTTGGGTGTCCCAGGTCTAGAGTTCAGGGGAGAGCTCCCAGCTAGAGAGATGTCCTGGAAGCTGTTGGCTTCTTGGTACACATGTTGAATGCCCTGATACTAGATGATGGCACCTGGGAGTGGGCATACAGATAGAAGACAAGACATCCAAGGACAGAGCCCTGGAACCTTCCAAAATTTGGAGAGCTAGCAAATGAGGACGATAGCAAAATAGACTGAGAAGGAGCAACCAGCACAAGAAGAAGAAAAACAGATGAGAATGATGTCCAGGTAGCACAGAGAAGTAAGTTTCAGGAGATAGTGATCTGCTGAATTCAGTACTGCAAATGGGACCAATTAGGACTGATGATTGGATTTAGCATCATTGTGCCTTTGATAAAGAGTAGTTTTTTTGGGTTTTTTATGTTTTATTTTCTGTGTCAGAGTCTCACTCTGTCACCCAGGCTGTAATGCAGTGGTACCCTCAAGGCCACCACAGCCTCGACCTGCTGGGCTCAGGTGATCCTTCCACCTCAGCCTTCCAAGTAGCTGGAACTACAGACACACGCCACCATGCCCAGCAAATTTTTTTTTTTTTTTAATTGTAGAGATGAGGTCTCACCATGTTGTCCAGGCTGGTCTCAAACCTCTGGGCTCAGGCAATTCTCTTGTCTCTGCCTCCCAAAGTGCTAGGGTTATAGGTGTGAACCACCACACCCAGCAAAATAGTAGTTTCAATAGTCACAGGGCAAAGAGCTGGTTGGAGTAGATTTAAGAAACACAGGGAGGAAAAAAATAAGAGATCATGAGGAAACCTCCTCCTACCCCCTCTTTCTCTTCCTTTTTCTCCTCCTCCTTTTCCTCCTTTCTGCTTCTTTTTTCTTTTCTTTTCTTTTTTCAGTGTCTCTCACTCTGTAGTCTAGGCTGAAGTGCAGTGGCACCATCTCAACTCACTGCAGCCTTGACATTTTGGGCTCAGACGATCCTTCCACCTCAACCTCCCAATAGCTGGGACTATAGGTGTGCCACGTGCCACCACACCTGGCTAATTTTTTTATTTTTTGTAGAGATGAGGTCTCACAATATTGCCCAGGCTCCTGGGCTCAAGCAATCCTCCTACCTAAGCCTCCCAGAGTGCTGGGATTACAGGCAGGAGCAACCACACCCTGCCTAGAGAGCTCCTTTTTCTAAGAAGCTTTTCCATACATGGAAGGAGGGATACATGGTAGCCACCAGAGGGGAAGCTTTTATTTGTTGGGCTGCATATGTGTTTGTTTACTAGCTCCTTCTTCTAGTACAGGGTCCTGTATTTGAACGGCTAGGAATTCTCATTTATAACACTGCTAGGTTGGGCGTAGTGGCCCACACCTATAATCCCAGCACTTTGGGAGGCTGAGGTGAGAGGATTGCCTAAGCCCAGGGGTTCAAGACCAGCTTGGGCAACTTGGCAAGACTGTGTCTCTACAGTAAATCAAAAAATTATTTGGGCATGGTGGTATGCACTTGTAGTTCTAGCTACTTGGAAGGTGGGCAGAAGGATCACCTGAGCCCAACAAGTCAAAGCTGTGGTTGACAGCCTGGGTGACAGAGTGAGACAATGACTCAAAAAAAAAAAAAAAGATTTGAAAACAAATCCCCAGAAGAGACTCTTAGATTCTGCCTCTCAATGAACTCTTCACTCAAAGTCTTACTGATTTTTTTTTTTTTACTTATTTTTACAGCATAAACCGGAAATAAAAGAAAACTTCAGTGGAAATTTCACCTATGTCATTGACAAGTTAATTCTAAACACAAACTACTGTGTGTCTGTTTATTTTGAGCCTAGAGGTCAGGAGACAGTTATCAAATCTCCCTCAAAATGTACTCTCCTTCAACCTGGCCAGGAATCAGGTATGTCCACTTTTTAAAATTTTCATGTTTTAAAATTCATGCTTTTACTCCGAGGGAAAACCAATTTTAAATAATAATAATATGAAATCCATGGAGCACTGAAAGTATTTCTTCCCAAAAAGGCACATCACAGAGATGTTTTCTGTTAGTTAGCCTCCACCATCTGGTAGAGTCAGTCTTATATTGCCATTATATATCTATCTACCTTTGTAAGGTCATAAATCTTCTTGAAATGGAAACGCTGTGATTTCAGGGAGTCAGGATCAAAGCCCATGCCATGTGCTCTTAGTATGGCCATTGTTCAAATCCAAGCTGGAAAAGGCAGAGTTGCTTGAAATAACTATACATGGAGACAGCAGAGGGTGGAACATTAGAAGCAGTGAGACTGGCTATGGCTTGCAGAAGCCTGGGCTGAAGCTCACAGATGAAAGGGAACCTTATCAGTGTGGCTGGGATCATCACTCATAAAAGCTGAAAGCCATTCTGGGGCAGAGACATCAGAACAGTGAACAGTGTAACCCTGGTCCTTCCTCCTATGTGGAGAAATATGCAGTCAAAACAACTGAGCTTAGGAACCTACCCTGTTGATGATTTTCTCAGTAAGTAGCCACATCTCCACCTGCTTTCCAAAAGCAAACATCTGCAAAAATCCCCCTGACCAGGCTCGGTGGCTCAGCCAGTAACTCCAGCACTTTGGGAGGCCGGGGTGAGTGGATTGCCTGAGCCCACGGGTTCAAGACCAGCCTAGGCAACTTGGCGAGACATCGGTCTCCACAATAAATCAAAAATTAGCCAGGCATGGTAACGTGCACCTGTAGTTCCGGCCACTTGGAAGGCTGAGGTGGAAGGATCACCGGAGCCCATCAGGTCGACACTGGGGTGGCCATGAGTGTGCCACTGCACTCCAGCTGGGCTCCAACTCAAAAAAAAAAAAAAAATCCCCCACAAAGGAGCTCTTCTACATTTCCTAGCCCCAGTGGAAGTTTCTTTAATGTTCTGATTGACCAGAATAAAATTAAGGTAGGATTGATAAGGAAACAACTTCAAATGATGTGATTATTTTTGAATTAAGCGAGGGCATGAGATGTTGCCTGGCACATAAAGCTGCCCAATGTCGGTACTTGTTCCAGGGCAGGATGATTTGATTCTCTAGTGCTCCTCAAAGCCAAATGATACATAGACTGATTTTAAAGGAGACGATATCTCAGACCTTCAGCTTACTCTATTTTTATTTTATTTTATCAAGACAGGGTCTTGCTATGTTGCCCAGGCTGCTCTTGAACTCCTGGGCTCAAACGATCATCCTATCTCAGCCTTCCAAAGTGCAGGGATTACAGGCATGAGGCACCAAGCCCAGCCACAGCGTACATTATCTTTATAATGTCAACTAAATACAGGCAAACCTAAAATTGCATAGATTCTGTATGCCTGTAGTTCTTTCAAAATATAAATGTATGTGTTTATGTTCTAATGCCAATTATCTGATACTAACTAGATATCCAAAGAGTCAATTCATTTCTGACACTAACCACCCAAGGTTAACAAGACTGCTCCCATTTCAGACTCCAGCCACATGTCCTGGGTCCTGAGGTTACCTGCACTTCTGTCTGACTTGGCTACGAATTGAGGAGTTCCCATGACCTCCCTTCAGCTTCCATAATTTGCTAAAATAACACACAAACTCAAGAAAGTGCTAGGGTATGATGGCCCTTTTGCTACAAAGGATACAAATGAATATTCCGAGAAGAAGTTCATAGGACAAGGTCTGGAAGGCTCCCCTGTGCAGGAACTCCTGTCCCTGTGAAGGCAGGGTGTACCACCCTCCCGATTCATCCATGTTCACCCACCTTCGGACTCCTCAAACCTGGTGTTCAGAGTTTTTACTGGGTTCCATTATGCAGGTGTGACTGATTAAATCATTGGCCACAGGATTAAACTTGATCTCCTGCTCTCTCTCCCTGAAGGTCAGAGGACGGAGTCAGAAGTTCCAAACCTCTAATCATGTGGCTAGTTTTTCTAGCAACCAGCCCTATTCTAGCCACACCATATCGCCTCATTAGCATAAACTCAGATATGGTCCCTAAAAAGGGCTCCTTGGCAGTAACAAAAGACACTCCTGTCATTCAGGAACCGCCATAGGTTTTTGAAGCCCTGTGCCAGAAACCAGGGACAGAGACTATTTTTAGTTTTTGGCTTGGAGTCTCACTCTGTTGCCCAGACTGGAGTGCAATGGTAGGATCACAGCTCACCTCAGCCTCCACCTTCCTGGGCTCAGGCAAATCTTCTACCTCAGCCTCCAACTCGCTGGGACTACAAGCATGTGCCACCGCGCTTGGCCAATTTTTGATTTTTGTAGGTCTCACTATGTTGCCCAGGTTGGTTTCAAACTCCCAGGCTTAAGCAATCCTCCTGCCTCAGAGCCATCACCTAGTTGTATTTTAAAGTTTTTTGTGTGTTTGTTTTACATCTTTCTTTGTCTTAAGCCTTGAAACATGCTTTAGAAACTTTTCTCTGACTGGGCGGGCGGGCACACGGCTCACGCCTGTAATCCCAGCACTTTGGGAGGCAGAGGTGAGAGGATTGCCTGAGCCCAGGGATTCCAGACCAGCCCGGGCAACTGGCAGATACAATCAATAAAAAATTAGCCAGGCATGGTGGTACACACCTGTAGTTCCCGCTGCTTGGAAGGCTGAGGCAGAAGGATCACCTGAGCCTAGCAGGTTGAGGCTGTGGTGGCCGTGCATGTGCTACAATGTGAGCTCCACAAAGTTAGATCACTGGTGGTGATCTGTGACTCAGCCTCTAGGCTAGGCAACCCCGCTTTGACCAGGTTCCTTAGAGAAGGATCAGCTCTAAGAGGTATCCGCCAACATGCCCAGCAGCACTGAGGTCACGGGGATATGGATGGCCAGGGAGGGCCTTTCTGAGAAGGTGGCATTTGAATAAAGATCCAAGGGAGACGTGGTAAACAGAGTAATGGCCCCCCAATGATGTCTACCTTCTAATCCCAGATAGGTGAACAGACTATTTTCCATGGCTTTGCAGGTGGGATTAAATTGAGGATTTTGAGATGGGGAGATGACCTGGATCATTCAGGTGGGCCCAGTGTCAACACAAGGATCCTTCTAAGGAATAGAGAGGCAAGAGACCCCATCAGAGAAGGAGCTATGTCAAAGGAAGCAGAGGTCAAAGAGTAAGGATGAAGGGAGGGGCCATGAGCCAAGGGGGGCAAGTGACCTCTAGAAGCTGGGAAAGGTAAGGAAATGAATTTTCTCACAGGGCCTTCCAAAGGGCTGCAGTCCTGCCAACACTTGCTTTCTTTTTTATTTTTATGTTTTTGAGTCAGAGGCACACTCTGTCGCCCAGGCTGGAGTGCAGTGGCATGCTCATGGCCACTGCAGCCTTGACCTGCAGGGCTCAGGTGATCCTTCCACCTTAGCCTTCCAAGTAGCTGGGACTATAGGCATGTACCATGCCCAGCTAATTTTTTTTTTTTTTTGAGTTGGAGTCTCACTCGGTCGCCCAGACTGGAGTGCAGTGGCCGCTCCCGGCCACCGCAGCCTCGACCTGCTGGGCTCCGGTGATCCTTCCACCTCAGCCTTCCAAGTAGCCAGAATTACAGGCATGCACTACCACGCCCGGCTGATTTTTTGATTTATTGTAGAGATGAGGTCTCGCTGCCCAGGCAGGTCTCGAACTCGCGGGCTCAGGCAATCCACTCACCTCAGCCTCCCAAAGGCACGGGATTACAGGCTGAGCCACTGAACCTGGCTAATTTTTTTATTTATTGTAGAGATGAAGTCTCACTATGTTGTTCAGGTTAGCCTCGAACCCCCGAGCTCAGGCAATTCTCTCACCTCCACCTCCCAAAGTGCTGGGATTACAGGCGTGAGCCACTGCACCTAGCTTTTTATCCCAGTTTTGGACTTCTGACCTCCAGAACTTAAGATAACATATCTGTGTTGTTTCATGGCACTAGTTTGTTTCATCAGTAAAAGGAAACTAATACAGGATGAGGGAGTGAGTCATGCAGACATATTAGGGGAGAGAGTTCCATATGGAGGGCCCAGCATGTGCAAAGGCCCTGAGGCAGAATTATGCCTGGCGTGGTATGACAGGAGAAATGGAGCCAGGGAAGGAGAGTGACAGTTTAGGGTGGAGGAGCCTAGATGATGTAGGACCTTGGAAGTCATTGTAAGAGATGGGGATCCCTCAAAGGGCTATGAGCAGGTTGCGTCCTCGCAATCTGACTTAGGATATAAAAGGAGCATCCAGATCCCGCAAGGCAAGAGCCAGGAGACTGGTGGACTGACACCATAGTCATCCAGGACACAGGTGGTGGTGCTGATTCCAGAGAGGCAAGCAAGGGAAGAACTCCGAGAGACTGACATTCATGTCATCAATCTTTCCACAAAGTTATTTCTCTTTTCCATGAAAGATAATAGTAATCAGATATTACCAATCCTCCTTCATTGCTCTGCTCAGCCCTTTGCATTTTGTTTAAGTCTTATCAGTAAATCCAGAGAAAGATAGGATTTGAAGACCAAGTTGTGAGGACATGAGCTGATCTCCCCTTCCCAAGATGGGTTTATCTGATCTGTCTTTTTTTGTTGTTGTTGTTATCAATATTTTTTATTATGATGTTGTGGGGTACAGTTAAGGGTTAGGTATATAATTACATTTCATTCAGGCACCCTGTTGATAAGAGGTGTTTCCCC